TTCGAAATCATAAACACAAGTAGAAATATTCTCAGTCTCAGTTGTATGTTGTACAATATGTTTTAAAAGTATAAGTTTAGAAAAGACATGTTGTAATACCTTTTAATTTGCTATAAGATACTTTAAAAGCAAGTGGGACAATTTCAATGGTTTGTCACTTGAATGTTTCAAAGGTAGCAACTTCAAAAGAGCAGTAAAGAAGCTTAAGTGAAGGCGTCAAACAATCTATTTCAGTGATTTCTTTGAAGTTCCTTGAACAGTTACAAATCATTCAAGCAGATTATTAACTTATTCAAGATTACAATTTTTTCAGTTCAGAGAGTAAATTGTAGTTGTTATTTTCAGTTCAATAGTTTAAAATTGGAAGATTTCTACTTTTTAAAAACAAAATTTTAATAACACAGATGAAGTTAGAGCTTCAAATAAAATTTTCTAGACTAAAAAAATGATATTGGTGAAATAATGTGTGGAACATAAGAATATTTCCAGTTTGTGATGGAGGAGCTATATCAGTACAATATCAGAGCTAAAATTTCCTGTGTAGATGAGTAGGACAATTTGAAATAATACTGAACTAGAGGACCCATGCTGTTCCGCAGCGTTAAAATCAATATAACATCTGACAAATAATCAAATTTATGATTTTTTATTGAGTAATACAATATCTTGAGCTTGACTTGATTTAAACAAATAATAGTTAATTTACTGATAATTTTGAGTCCAAAACATATATAACACACGAACAATACTGGAGCTATTGATTTGTAATCATAGAAAACACTTATGAAAAAAAAACTTTGTTGGTTGTTCGCCTTGCATCAGCTTTAAACCTGTACGATTTGAATAAGTAATAGATTAAAAGAAAGCCAGTATTTCACTGAAGGTTCTTAGACCGAAATATATAGGATTATATAATTATAAGTGGTGAAATACATCTTAAATTGAAGTAATCTTAAATTAAAAAATGAATCAAACTATGCCGATGCTTGATGTGAAATCTGTATGTGCACACCTAAAATTTGAGACCTCAATCATGAAAATCGGTCAAGTAGAATAGCTAAAAAGAACTCGGCAAAGAGAAACCAAATTTAACTCCCATAAGAAATACATAGAGAGCGAATTTCGTTTACGTATAAACCAAGTGAGACTATAGATAATTAAATGACGATGCTTGATGGCAAATCTGTGCGTGCATACCTTCAATTTGAGACCTCAATCATGAAAATCGGTCGGGTAGAAGAGCTAAACGAACTCGGCAAAGAGAAACCAAATTTAACTCCCATAAGAAATACATGGAGAGCAAATTTCATTTATGTATATGCCGAGTGGGATTATAGATACATTTATGCCGATGCTTGATGGAAAATCTGTGCGTGCTTACCTTCAATTTGAGACCTCAATCATGAAAATCGGTCGGGTAGAAGAGCTAAACCAACTCGGCAAAGAGAAACCTAATTTAACTCCCATAAGAAATAAATGGGGAGCAAATTTTGTTTAAGTATATGTCGAGTTGGATTATAGATACATTTATGCCGATGCTTGATGGCAAATCTGTACATGCATAACTTCAATTTGAGACCTCAATAATGAAAATCGGTCGGGTCGAAGAGCCAAAAGAACTTGGAAAAGAAAACCCAAATTTAACTCCCATAAGAAATACATGGGGAGCAAATTTTGTTTACGCATATGTCGAGTACATATACGTATATTACATATACATACATACATATACGTATATTATAGATACATTTATGCCGATGTTTGATGGCAAATCTGAGCGTGCATACCTTCAATTTGAGACCTCAATCATGAAAATCGGTCGGGCAGAAGAGCCAAACGAACTGGCAAAAGAAAAACCAATTTTTTTTAAATATAAAAGATATTTGGCAGGAGTTAAGAAAATTAGTGTCAACAATGAGCTCAATGCTGATACTTTATTTCAAAAATTATTACTAGATTTAAATAAAACGTTTTAAAATGCTGTAATTTATGGAGCATGATGTATGAATCTTAAATAGGCGTTTTCAAATAGCTAAAAACTGTTGTTGGTTGAGGGTTTGAACCCCGGACCTAAAGGACGGTAGTCTAGCGCTCTAACTAAACCTAGACCAGATGTTGTCCAATTGTCATTGACAGGTACGTCCCCCAGACGTAACAGATCATTACTGTACTACCAATCGATAAGGATTTTATAAAAATCTAAACACAACCCTATGATAATACAAATGTTTCTCTATAGGAGTAAAATCATGTAAATAGAAACAACTCAGGATTTAATAAATGAGTCTTGATTTGCTAAGAATATAACCACAAATCACCAATTGAAATCACAACGGTTTGTTCAGTTTCAATTCCAGTAATCAGGGTACACTAGAGAAATGATGCCTTTGTGGTAGTAAAGTAGGGCATACACATTGGCTGTGATTGGTCTAGCAGCTATCATGCAGACAGACGGTGGTCTAGAAACACCAATTGGGTCTCATATATAGTAGTGTCACTTAAAACTTTACCCCATACAATTATTTAACATTCCTACAATTTATTAGGTTTTTTTATAGATTTATTTGTGAAATATCTTCTCTCGGCTACCTACTTAAGTTAATTTATTCAATATTTACAAATTGTGATTCTAAAGGAGGATATTGGAACTTGGTATAATAAATTTAAACATACATTTCATCTTAAAACCTAACAGACTTTTTGTAGACAGTTCTAGATGTTTAAAAAGGTGTTCGAAAGTAAAAAAAAACTAACCAAATCTTTTTACACTGAACTCCCTTTTTGTCCCACACCCCCAAACCGCACTCTGTAGACCCCCCTTGACAAAGTCTCAGAATCGCCACTGATGTTTACAAATAAGAGGGGTCATGTACCTCCTCATTTTAACTAATTAGCATATGTTAAATATATTCCCTGTATATTTAGTTTATTAAAGGTTGAATCAGTATTGGTATAAATTCAATGAGGAATTGTATTCAGTATTGTATTGAAATTGAAACGATGAATGTAGGCCTATCCTTCCGTGCATCGCGGTACTAGCCGTGTTTCCATACGTGGGATTATTATCCCGAAAACAGGATTTTTAGAGCATGAGCGGGATTTGAAGGGGATGTGGGGTAAAACAGGAGTTTTGGCTATGACAAAAAAAAACTAACCCCAATCGAAAAAAATTACCTTAACAAAATATAATAGCAATGTTAAAACAACTATTTAAACACATGTCTAATTTAACACTCAGAATTTAACATCAAAAATCTTAAGGGATTAAACGGGATTTCTTAACCCAGCGACCGGGATTTTTTTTTTTTCGTGTAGAAACACTACTGGGAGCTCGGTGCGTTCAATTAAAGCCAGTAATCAGAGGGTGATGATAGAATGTCTGTCGATGTTCGATGTTTTTTATATTGATGGCAGGTTCCCGATGTTTTTGTTAAATCGATGTTTTTGTCAAACTTCGATGTTTTTGACCAAGTAATGAGACGTAGATGCAAAATGTAGCATATCTGTAAAAAATGTAGTCTTTCAAGAGAAATTCTAGATTTTTTCCAAAATTCCCTGACTTTTCCAGACCCAACAAAATTCCCTGACATTTCCAGGTTTTCCCTGACCGTACCAACCCTGCATACGTTTTTTATGACAAAAATTTGTTAAAATCAGTAAGAGTGCTAGGAAAAGTAGTTTAACAGCTAAAGTGATACTACTTGACCAATTGATAGAAATTCTCTACCAACCTAAGTAAAAGAATTGTCATCAGTCCATGCAGGTTGAATGACTGTGTGACAGTCAATCTTAGATCCGAGCAGAGCCTGGTTTTGAGCAAGCACGAAGGCAGAAAATCGAGCGTGAGCCGATTTTCTCAATACTTAAAACCCATTAAAAAGTAGAAGCTTTTATCTCTGCAAAGATCACGCTCACAAGATTAACAGCTTTTGCCGCGATTGCGAATATCAACGAGAACATTTCCCCGCGGGTGAGGATGATGGTGTGTTCGCGGCCGCAGGAGATTTTCAATATTTTGATGCGATTGCGAAAAGCGATAATGATGTCCACACAACCGCAGGAGACATTCAGGATTTTGCTTCTACAGTGGAAGACGATTTAAATGTTTCCTTGACCTCAAAATATTCTAGATTATGATGTTATCGTAGAAGACGATGATGACGTTTCTTATTCCACAAGAGATATATCTAGGGTTTTGCCGGAAAAAAATGATGTTTCCTTCACTGCGGGTGATATTAGGGATTGGGCTGCAAACATGGGGGACGATGATGTCCTAGATTTGGCTGCAAGCTCGGTAGACTACGATAATGTTTCCATGACTACAGGAATTTCTCACTGTTTTGCCCCGATCATGGAAGACGATGATGACGCCTCGGTGCCTCGGAAAATGTCATGCTAAGCAAAATTGCACTTTTTTTTGCCGGAAATACCTGTGATAATGTTTTTAAAGATTATTGGTAGGGCCCGGTGAACAAACTTGCGTGGGAGCCTGCGGGCTCTTAGCGCCACTGATGTTTTGCATACAGAATTTCAAAATGTTTTTCATCCATCTTAAGAAGATAAAATCCCAATTTCGTATTAACTTTTTTTTTGGAATCGCACACACATTACATGTATGATAGGTTGAAATAAACAAAATGCCCAATTTGAGATGCAACTCACAAAATGCCATACATACCATGGCAGTCCACTGATTTTACGTGATCCTCTTTACCAACTTGCATTGCAAATTACCATGATAACATTGTCGCCGATAGGTGATGACACTGTCAGATTAAGCAAGGAAACGTACTAGCTGAGTTTAACAATTTTCCTCTAAGGTTAATAGCTTTAATATTAAATATTTAATTACATAGGTACATAGTTGTGAGTAGAAGTTTATAGTTCGGTTTGTTTATCTTGTGTCCCATATATTGGCCACATAGCACAAAGGGTTAAATCGCTATTATTTAGAAATAAATAAACATTCATATACATTGTAATAATTATATACAGTTTTATTGACAAAATTACATGGAAATGCCACAAAAATTATATTTCCTCTTTAATACTTTTAAAACTAAGTACAAAAAAATATACTGTACGGTAAAACACTTGTACAAAAAATTAAGTACATACATGAAAATTACTGTATAATTAAAAAATTTAGGTATTTGTGCAAATAAGCTGAAGCAAGTATTTTCCAGGATTTCATTTAGTTATTTTTGGTAAAAATTGTTAAGTGCCTTGTATCCACACTTCTATAATTAAATTGAATGTATTAATTAAATTTCTATGAGTTTTATGTTGCGCATAAAGTCAGTGTAGTGAAACAGTTTAATTTAAAGGTTGCTAATATTATACAATTAAAATTCTATTGTTATTTATTACAGTACTTGAAAACTGGGAAAATAATATGCATTTCTTATCAAACAGTAAAAAAATTAGCTTTATGTAAATGGAAATAAAAGTATTTAACAATAAAACTAATTTTCTAATCTTTATAAGTTAACCTAAAATCTTATAAACAATTTTGATTCATAAATAGACAGACTTTTTGGGTGTCGAGAATTCCTTTTTTAAACGGATGTTGCTTGTTCCAGAATGTAGCATTAGTTCTAATACGAAATAAGTGTGGACATAATAGAGTGGCTAAGATTTTATATACTGATTAAACCAATATTTCACTGAATATTTTGATTTTTTGCATCATTGTAAGATCAAAATTTTCTAGAATATACAAACAAAAGATGTAGAATTGGTGTCACAATTCTTTTTAGTTAACAATTTTAAACTATATTTTATTGAAATAATTAAACAAAATACAAAAAGTCTGGAATATTATTATTGTTGGCATGAAAATAAGAGATATTGCTTTTCAATCACACACATTTAATTACTAACTGTCAATAATTTCAACATTTGTTAAGTTGTTTTAACGTTTTTCGGAGGTAAATAAGAGTATAAGGTGTATAAGAGACATAAAAAGATAAATTATAAGTTTTTAGTTGTGGAATTTTAAAATATGCAAACTGAAATAAAAACTTATAAAATAAGTCATGTTTCCTTGTATCTTTTTATAACTAAAGCATTTTAAAAAAAATATAAAAATGCAGAATTCCCATAAAATATTACATTTAAAAAAGTGTGAGCAATTTATAAAAGTGAGCTGAGAGGCCATGTGTATTTTGACAATTAAAAATTTAGAAGTTTACAAATTATGTTAAATATGTAACAAAGAGCTGAAGAAAAACTATAAACTATACAAGAAAATAATATTTACAAAAAGAATACTGACGATATAATAACATTTACCATATATATACAAAATCATGTAATATTTGACAAATTTAAGTTAGAGTGAGCAAGCTTACTATGACATTTAACCGAATGGAATTAAAAGGTTTCACTAGATATGGTTTTGGGTTTGAAAGCGCAAATTAAATGCTACATGTTGTTTGTTGTGGTTAAAAATTACTTAGGAAATAAGTATTTAAATTCTTGATGTAACAAAAACTATTAAAACTGAACTCACATTTCAAGCAATATTTTTGTGTTTGAAAGATAACAATTAGCTTCTTTCACAGTTAATCCACTTCTGATACCTTTTAGCTTTTAACATAATTACTACACACGATTTCTTTGGCTTTTGTTATCTTTAAAACACAGCTCTGTATAGTATCTGTAGACACTTAATTATTCATTATTACTACATCCAAGTAATTTGCCTGAAGATAAGGTGGGGGTTTTTAAGGACAGTCAATTTAAGCAGTGATTATACCCTGAATAACAAACTCAAACTAGCGACATTCAATTTGTAAACTTTAACATATAAGCTTAAACTTAATGGATGTAAAACGTAAAATGTATAAACTATTGTTACACTTACAGTATACTGTCTAAAATACTGTGCAGTTGTTTAGAATAGAATAAACCTTTCTTATCCGACCAAACAACATAGACTTCAATTAATTTTGAATTACAGTTTTGAGTAACCTGGCATTAGATTAATATTTATAACTAGTAAAAAGGAAAACTCGCTATTGTTTGTCTTAGACATTCCAGTTGAATTGATATGGGTTTTTACTTTTTGGCTGATTCTATTTCACTACTTGTTTACAATGTATGCCAGAGGATGAAATTGCTTTTCCAGATCATTACACAATTTTTCCCAAGGTTTTCCTAAAGTATTGACACTGTAACTGAATCCATTAATTGGAAAGCAGCCTTTTTTGGCAAATTTTAGTAGTGAAGTCAGTAGACAAGTTCTGTATCTACAATATTCATTTCGCTGGTCAAAGATAAGACGGATTTGACTGAAATGAAAACATTGAAAATAAACAAAGCTTTAAGTACCACTTATGTATCTCTGTGGTACACACATCTGTAAAATATAAATATCACATCAACAACTGATTAATAAATTCTATCGTAAGTTTAAGTGGATTCGTTACGTTACAAATAAAAACTTAAATCCTAGTTATTAGCGAACTAAATAAAATATTTATACATTTTAAATCCAACAGAGTTTCCTTATAAAAAATATACAATAGTTTACATTATCACAAATTACTTTAATACACCAAACACTAATAACAAAATTGTATTTAAGTACTAAATTCATTCACTAAATTGTCAATTTAAATGCTTTCCTAAACTACGAGGAATGTAGTGTATACGACATTGATGGTTTTGGTTGTATGATCATGCTTTCAGACACGGTAAGATAAACGACGTGTTGGCTTCAAAAGCTCTACTTTTCTTATCAAAGAAGATTCGCTAGCAGACAAGACTACATGACGATTTAGGCACCATATTTTAGATTAGAGTATTTTTCAACAATCTTAGTTAGAGGGGAATATCATTTAATTTGAAGCAAATTTTGAAAACCCTCACTTAAACCCTCAATTAATATACAAATAACATTATTTTTACGTATAAATATAAAACCAACTAGAAATGAGACTGATTTGTATAGTGAAAATAAAAACTGCATATGTTTTACTTTGGCAAATTAATACATTACTGTATTTTTAAGTACCACAATTTATATAGTCGGACTTAAGACTAGGAGTATTTAGTAGTTTTAATATAGTATAAAAGTATAAGAATATACCTGGTATCTAGGTCAAAATAATTAAACTTAAATATAAATAAATGGCAGTCATAATGAAAACTAAAATAATTTAATAAGTTCAAAATTTCTAATGTATTTCTGGACCGAAAGCACCTCCAATATACATGATATGTATCTCGATTTGTTACTTATATTGTACTCTGTCAAATTCAAATTTAAGTATAGCTTAAATGGGAAGAAACTAATTTTCTGCTAGATTTGAATGAAAATATTGCAGAGCAAGCTATTGAGGTATAATGCTATAAGGTCTAGTTTAACAACTTGTTCAAATAAATAATGCATTCAAAATTTGTTCAGAACAAAACAGCTATTACAGCAGTTATTTGAAGCTTTACAACAATAAGATCGGTAACAGTAAATACCTAAAAAAAAACACATAATGCAAAAGCCACACTGAAAAGTGAATTTGGAATAGAGTACTATAATAACAACATACTAAAATTTTTAGTTAAATATCAATAGATAACAAAGTGAAAATCTTAGTTACCAACATCGTTAGATTTATCTGTTAACTCACAACATTCTCGTCTTTTACAATCTACAACTTACTGACTAAATAACAATCTGTCCTTAAGACATACAAGCCGTTGTTCAAATATAACATTTCAACTTTAAAAGTTTTATTTTTTAATTTCCATTTCATTTTATACATAACTTAGGGAATGAAATTAAGTACTTTTAAATTGTGTCGAAAAAGTAAAAGAATAGTACCTGCGCAAAACTTAAGGTAAAATCTTTTCTATTTAATTAGAAACATTTCATCAACCATACACAACTGTGAAATTTCATACCTTGGAAGCTTAAAATGAAACGATCGAGCGGAAAACCGATAACACAAGTAGCTACATGTCTAATGCCTGTAGGCCTGCCCTCACATCTGTACTTGGAAAGCTTTAACAGGTGCGGTCGTCGGCGTAGCTCCGTTCGTGGGGCTGTTGGTCAGGAAGGGATTAGTGCTGTGCTGTGATTGGCCGTTTCTCGACGCTATAGCTGCCCACTCAGCGTCAAAAGGGTCTGTTGTGCCGTTTGTATTTTGATGCGAGTAATATGATTCAGCCGACCCTATGGATTCAAAAAAAAACTTTTAGTGCTGTTGGTTAATAGTAACAATTGAAGAACATTCCAATAGACATAAGCTCTATGTTATTGTCTTATATCAAATGCTAACAGTTTAGTGCTTATAACTCAGAAAAAGGTTAAGGCATAGTTTAAACAGTAATCTATTACTTTTTTTATTTTCTGTTTATATAGACCCATTGTCATTTTCTAGTTTTTTTGTAAGGAATTTTCAAATCCTGATCTTGTAACTATCTTATGTCGACCTTTGGCCATCATTAATGGTAGCCCGATGAAAAATGGAATCTGAGTCCAGATCCACCTTGGTTGGAATTGAACCTTTAACATTCAAATTATTTTTGCTTCACTGAATGGGCCTAAATCATGTTCCTGCTACTGCATGGAAATCACTGTCACACATGTAAACAGTACCCAAAACAGCTCATTAACACTTTAATCATTCCTGCTCTGCTAAATCTACTGAACAATATCATCTGGTAATGTATCTACAAAAGTAAATCTATGAACAAGGACCTAAATGGCATTTTATCTGTGTGTTATGATAGGTAAAAAATCATAGAAGGAAAACTCTTGTGTATTAAATTTAGATGAAGAACAAAGAGGTGGTTTATTTCTGTAGTCTTTGTAAAAAAGTAAGACTTAAATTTTAGTAATTTCTGTGATCGGTAAAGTTAAGTGATTTCAGTGATCGATAGTTGCAAAGGACATACACCAAAGCATTCAACCTGTTTTAAAATACACACGTAAATAAATATACATTACAGAATCCCTACAAATGGATTATTATAAGACTAAGTAGTCAGGGTGTTTACCGAGAGAATGTGCACGAAGATGATGAGACAACATCGGTGTTCGTCTGCTCATAGCGGGGGAGTTGCCAGAGAGAGTCACTGCTGCCACCTGTCACAAGAGAAAAGTCCATCAAGTTGTGGGCCATAGAACATATTTGGACAGTTTACACATTTTCTCATAGCATGATTTAACTATGACAACAATCATACTAATTAGGGGAATAATATAAGGCTAAAAGTTTGTGTTATAAAGCTGAATGTTTGTGTGTTTGTTAGTTTGTTTCAAGGATGTTGTTGTACAAGGATGTTTATAAAAATACATTATGTTTGTATCTTTGTTTTCCCCCAAAATAATTTCTGGCAAATGGAGTAGCCTGTTTTTGTTTTTGTTTTAGATCGGGCTGGTATCTTGCTTGTGGTGTTCTGGAGAGGTTACAATTTGCAGTTAATTTATAAGGAGGGTTGTCTTTCTGAGGGTGTTCACTTGTGGATTGGACAGGTGAAGTCTGATGCATGTACAGTAGACTCCCTCTTATCCGGACATCAGTTTAACCGGACTAGATCGGCAGGAAGTGGGCGTTACTGAAACGACTGTTCTCGCGGGAAAGATTTGAGACCAGTGATCACGTGTATAAATAAAGTGCTCTCCTAAATTTAAGACAAATACTGTATACAGTATGCATTTAAACAATCTATCTTAACGGGTTTTTGGGGACTGGCCTCGGTCCGCAGGAGTCCGGATAAGAGGGAGTCTACTGTATGTTGTTGTGATGATGTAGGTCCCTATGTCTGGTTTGCTGGAATGCTTTAGCAAAGAGAATTGTTTTGACAGATGTGAGGTGATATTAGTGTTATTTGTTTCTTGAAAGGTCCATTTGTAACAAAATCAGCTGACAATCTCACCTTTCCTAGCCACTGGTCTGGGCGAGGCAGGTTGCGTACGGGGGGGAGTGGTGAGGCTGGCAGAGGAGGGGTGGCGGGTGGCGTCAGAGCTGTCGGGGGTGACCACACAGTGGCAGGGGTGGCGTTGTTGGTCACGTTGTTCACATTGTTGTTGTAGTTCTGTAGCTTCAGCGTGTCTATTGATGACAGGATTGAGTCATTGTGGGCGCTCATGTTCGCTTTCAAGTCTGAAAAAAATATAAATAGTTGTGTCACACCTTGCATTAATTATTAGTGAAAAACCCATTTTTATGTAGATTGACAATTTTCAGCAAACACTGTGTGATTTTGTACAGTGACCAGGCCGCAGCGACTAGTGTGACCGTAACCTTAGGCCGGTTTCACACGAGCCATAAAACGCCCGACAATCGTGGAACGCCGCTTCTGACTGTTGTGGCGCGCTTGTCGCGCGAGAATCACAATCTGACGCAGAAAAGAAGAGCCCCATTCACTTAACATTGGAACGCGGCATTGCCACTCAGACAGTCAAAACAACCAGTCACCCTGTTTTGTCCTGATTTTTTTTTTACTTTTATAACAATAAGTTATGTCTGACTTTGACACAGACCGTTTTATCGTAGAAGTAGGGTGTAGGCCAGTGTTATGGGACCAAGAATGTAAAGATAACTCAAATAATTACTCTATGACGTCGTATCACACGAAGAAGCATTATAAAAAACAAGCCTTCTTCATCGTCCATTGTATCACTGAACTGCACTCGTAGTCTTTCCAAGCGGACTGGTGTTTTGGTTTATTTCAGGGAGGTGCGGTATGAAATGGCGATAAACTAAAGGAAATCGCGGAATCATGCTTTTGCCAACTGAAAGGTCCCACGCGATTGACCGCTGCCAGTGGTGCGTTTCTGCCGACGATTGTGGCATGTTTGTGGCTCGTGTGAAACCGGCCTTAGACTTTTACGGTTGAGACAGGGTCTGATCCCTAGGTTTATGTGTAAGAGAGAGTACTGTAATAAAGCTAGGTTAAAATTACAATCTAAATACATATTTAATTAAATATTTTCATTTAACTTATCATTTTGATTTCCTATTATAATAACAACTCAGAAGATTATGACATACCCGGTGTGGTAGAACTGGTTGGAAACAGATTTTTTGCAACACTGTCTGACACTGGCGGCTGCTGAAACAAAAAGGAATATTGAAAACAAGACAAATTAACAGCTTAATGGCTACAAAAAAACACATGGGTGGGCAAATATTTTGAAGTTCACACTTAAGTAAAGAACAATGATTGATTTGCAACCATTTATTAGGAGTCTACTGAGAGTAGTAAAACATTTAGTGTTAAGATCCTCTTCACAAATGATCAAAGATAATTTGTGAGATAGTGGTAAGATTATTGGTACTAGTTTGGATCTAATTTTTATTATAATTACAATCGTTATAACGGTTTACGACGTTACCAAAATTTACCGCCGTAATAATAATATAATAGGCCTACTCAATTAACCAAATTTAGATTACTATCAAGCTTTCTAATAGGCTCAAACAATAACCAATGAAAGACGTTATTCCAAATAGCCTAGGTTGTTGCACAGTTGCAATAAACACCGATCCTCTTGATGCTTTGTAATTTCAAGGTAATAATAAATAAAATTCTAATAAATACCTCTCTAATTAATAGCAGATTTAAGTCAAATTTCATTAATGAATAACTTGAGATAACCTACAATACGTACACTTACCGTTTCGATATCATAACGTCTGCCGATACAACTTTTACTTTCATCAAAGGCCGTAATTAAATTATCATTTATTAGACTCCGACTAATCATTCTTTTATTTAAATTATCCTATAACTGTGATTTGTTTTAATTACTGTAAGATTGTTTAAATTCATATTAAGAATAACTTTATACGGATGCCTATTTACAATCATCACTAACATAACCTCCAGGACATGACATTTGACAGACATCGGTACCCGGCCCGGTTTGAGAATTGAGTGAGAGGAAGTAAAACAATCACATTACGTCATATAGTTTTTTCTGCGCGGTACGTACTCCGGTATCATGGCAGGGCGGGATTTTTGAAAGAGGGAAGACTTCTCTCTTGTTAACTCGGCTTTTTTAGCTGGAAGAGTAGAGTCCTCAAAGCTACATTCGGCAAACACTACACTCGGCTTTGTGCTGGAGTTGGTAAGAGCTGAAAGTTGGCAACTTAAACTACAGATTAGGTTTTCTTTATTAACAAAATTAAATTTCTTTCTCAGGGGTTACATTATTGCGAGTTAGGGAATTCTTGAGTCATTAATATTTTGTGATATAATTTAAAGTAGATTTTTTTTCAATTTCAAGTTAAATATTTATGAATTGTTAAATATTTGCGAATTGTTAAGTGAGAAAGATCACTGTGATAATTATTTAATAAGACTGAATGTTAGATTTAATAAATTTGTTGAATAAATATTTAATTGTTACAGCATAAACTCTTGACTTATTATTGTAGGGACACGCTCTCATCTCTCTAGACATAAATAAAGAAAATACAAAATCATAATAAGCTCAGATAAGAAACAACCCCACTCATTAAATCGGCTGGCAAAGAACCTCTCCCTGAAGATAGCTCATTGCTCTGCAAAAAATAGCTAGGGTAACAAAAATAACCAGAATTTTGAGTTGGAGTGTTGTAAAATGGCGCCCAACGTAGCAGCCGATTAACCAACGTAGTAACCGTACGGAGTAGCCAACATAGAAACTTAATTAAACTAACATACTTTGAATGTCTAGAATCTGATAAATAGGTTTATAAATAATAATGGAAGACAACACCAGTCAGTATAACTTGCGTTCGAGTATCAAACCGAGTAATAAATTATTAGAAAGTAATGAAGCTTTTGAATTTTTAACAAGACGAAATCCAGAGGAAAATCAAACCATCACACAAAAACCTAGCGAAATTATAGGTCAGGAAACACACCCAAACTATGAAAATTCAATCCACGATAGTGACAGCACTAGCAGTGAGATCTTACAAATAGAGGGGACAGATGGGACGATAAATAAAACACAAAGAATAACAGAAAAAACACCATCAAACAGAGAAAACGACAGTAAACCATCCCAATCTCAAACTATAACTATGGACAAGATCTTGTTAATACTAAATGAAATGAGAGGCGAAATGAGGGATACTAGAGATGAGATTAAAAAACTAAATGCAAAAGTAGATGAGACTAAATATGAACTTAGCTTTACTATAGATAAAACAATTGAACAATTAAAGAGACAAGTAGAAAACCAATTGGAAAAGGTAACTTACACAATTGATCAAAAAATAAATTATATTGATGATGATTTAAGGAGGGTAAAATCAGAAGGTGAACTAAGGGAGATAAAAATTATGCGCCGGGTGGAAGAACTTGTAGAATCCCAAAATGCTAACGTAACACAAATGATAGAGACAATAAAAAGTGACTTAATAGGAATCACTAATGACACCATTAGGGAACAAAAATCAAAAGAAAGGTATATTGAGGCTACAAACAGTAAGGAAATAATTATCACATACCAAGGGTCCCCAGAACAGTCGTTAAAACACTTGCAATTTGACGGACGACAAACAAACCCAATGATATTCCTAAACAAGCTAAAAGCATACCTTAGTCGTGAAGAGAAAAAACGAACTAACATGATAGGATTTGAGGATTCTGATCTAAAGGAAGTACTTGAAGGAATTTTTATTGGTACCGCAGCTTCTTGGTGGCAAATCATAAAGGACAGTATAGGGAACATTGACGACTTTGAAAAAGCGTTCATAACTAAATACTGGAGTAAGGAGACTCAACGTGGATTAAAACAGAGAATAGAGATGGAAGAGTATAGGCCAGGAGGTAGATTAAGTCGTACCGAATACTTTATGGAAAAGGCGGTTCTCTTACGTTCGATGTCAGCCAATACTTTGGACGAGGAGGAAATAATAAGCTTGTTGTCAGGTCATTTTGGACGAAAGATTCAGGATGCTTGTAGTGTCCAGGGCATAACCACTATCAGTGCTATGGAAAAATTGTTAGACCGTGAGGACAACGAAGAGAAAAATAAAAGCTTAAAATTTCAAAATAACAGCTCTAAGTCAAACCAAAACTACAATCAACAACGCAGTAAAACACTCGTAGGAAATGAAGACTACAGACAAGAGATAGAACGTCGAGACAGATACAACAACAGAAACCGAACAGAACAAAACTATCACCATAGATATGATAGGCCACAAGCACACAAAGATAACATCAATGGCGAAAGACCAAACTACAGACCGAGAAATAATGAAACAAGACCTAACTATCCACAAAAGGAGCCATATAGATATCCTAGTGAGGAGCAAAGAAGAGTATGCTCTATGGTGTACCAGGGAAATTCTCAACCAGTGCCTTTAAACGAGAAAGCACCGAGACTTTCAGAGAATCGGGCCCCAACACAAAACTGTTAGGAAATCTAAGAGAATGTGTAGAAGCCTCGGTGCACAACACAACCACACCGCCCGAAATTCAAATCAAACCCGAAAAGGAACCAGACATAAAGAATACTAACTTTGAAAAAATATTAATAGGAAATGTATATTGTGATAGAGAATTTCTATTAACAGAAGATTTAGAAGTCCCTGAAAATTTAAATAGTAAAATTGTAAGATGTCCTGAAATAAAATTGAAATTACAGAACATAGAAATTAATGCACTGATTGACTCTGGTAGTAACGTAACTTGTGTACAAACTGAGTGGTTGGAAGCAAATCAAGATAAGATTAGTATAATAGGTCAATTACCTCTAACAAACGTAAATATTACTACTGCTACAGGTCAGAAAAGTAAACGTATAAATAAAATAGTTTTACTTGAAGCCACAATTTTAAATACAACTGTTATGCTCCAATGCTTAGTAATACCAAGACTAATAAGAGAAATTATACTTGGAATGGATACAATCAAAGAGTTGAAGATGAACCTTGACTTTGGAAAAAATAAGATCTCAATTTACCATGGGAATCAAAGCATATCTGTAAACTTAGAGGAGGTCAGTAGTAAAGTTATTGAGTGCAAAGTAATACATAACAATGACAATCTTCACAAAGATTGGGATGAAATAGAAACTAAGAAAAACACAGCTAACAATAACGAGATCATGATGACAAGTATAAATACACAGGAAAACTTAACAAGTGAACAGAAAGACAAGTTAACCGAACTGTTTTCAAGGTACAATGAAGTATTTTCCGACCAACCTGGCCGTTGCACAAAATATAAACATGAGATTAAGGTGAAACATGACAAAGCATTTAAGCAACAAACTTATCCAATCCCATACAAATATCTAGATTCTGTAAAAAAGGAAATAGCTAGAATGGAAGGAGAAGGAATCATAGAAAGATGTGATAGTCCATATATAAATCCCATTGTACCAGTTATGAAAAAATCTGGAGAAGTGAGAGTATGTTTAGATGCTAGGAGAATAAATGAAATTATTACCCCAGACTATGAATGTAATAGAGGCATAAACGAACTGTTATTTAAAGGGAGAAAAACAAAATGGTTAACCACTTTAGATCTGTCTAGTGCATTTTGGCAAATTGAGCTAGCACTAGAATCAAGAAAGTATACAGCATTTCAATTTATGGGTAAAACTTACCAGTACTGTGTTACTCCATTCGGTTTGAATACTTCTTCTGCGGCTTTGGTTCGTGCTCTAAGTTTCGTATTTGACGATGAGGTAGATGATTTTACCATGGTTTACGCAGATGACATTCTTTGCTACTCACCTGATTTTGAAACTCATTTAAAACACTTAGAAACTATTTTCCTTAAGCTGAAGGGAGCTAACATGACAATAAAATTTGAAAAATCATTGTTCTGTAGAGATAAAGTCCCATTTCTAGGATATATAGTAACAGGTGAAGGATTGGAGGCAGACCCAAGAAAAACTGAAGCAATTTTGAATTTAAGAACACCAAGAAATCAGAAAGAACTCAGAGGATTCTTAGGCACAATAAATTATTATAACAGATTCGTTGAGAAGTATTCAGAAACATTACAACCACTTCTGGCCCTAACATCAAAGAAAAATAAATTTATTTGGACAAGTAAAGAACAGGAAGTTTTTGAAAACACGAAGGAACTTTTCTTAAAAA